TTATTGTGCCTGCTTAACTCTTGAGAAAGAAATCTACAGTTAAATTAGGATTGATTTCAAACAGCACCAATGTAGATATTTGACTTACTGGAGGCTCTTAACTTGAATTAATAAAGAGTCTTACATAAAATATGTCCACATAAATGCAATTTTAATCCTTTAAGAATTCTATCATAGTTCTGACACTGATAAATTACTGAAAAAGGTTTACTTTAAGGAGTAGACTTCAGACACAGAGTATGAGTTCCTCAATTCCTCTATCACATTCCTTATGGCCAGTTGGCTACATGGTCATCTAAGGAAATAAAGCTTATTGAGATACAGAGTAACATTCTTTCTATGATCACATGTGGACATTTTAAAGTTTTCCCCTGAATCAAATACAGGTCCATATATGTACACGCATGATTAAAGTATGTTATACACAAGTATGAGTGCACAATTTGAACAACTACAGACAGTTTAACCAAATGAATATCAGGAAGCTGAAGCATGTCCTGACTGGGGGTGAGGAGTGCAGCTTAATGGAGGAGAGCAGATGAATGCAGAGGAATGGTACATGAATATAATGATAGGATAGATGAGAGAAGAATAATGGAAGGGATGGTTCTGATTAGAAGGCTTTATACTCATAAATTGACATTGACTTGAAACTTCTTTGCTCAACGAAAGATAATAAAAAATACATGTTTAAAGTAAAAAAGAACTCCCCCCATGGACAACTATTTAAAACTAATAGTAGAAAGTAGTTTTTCTCTAATATTGAAGTAGAATCTTCCTAAGTCTCTAAGTTAATGGGTTTACATATTACCTCAGAAGGTATTAGGAATAGACCCCTTCCTTTTCCCTTAGACAGTTTCTGATTGTTTGAACATTATTATTATATAATCACCCCTCCCTACTCTAAAATCTTGTTTTGTCAGTATATCCAGTTTCTTCAATATATTTTTATAGACTTCTTTTTGCATCTACTCATTAATTGTGGTATCAAGTTGATCTGTTGTATCTAGAGAGGCTTGGCCAATTGTCAATATAAGTAGAAAGATAATCATGTCTAGAGCCTATCATGCCCTGTACTGTCTCTTGAAGTTGATTGTTTTCCTCTAGTAGTCTCAACCTCCCTACAGGAAGGCCAAATCTGTCCACAGAAAGCACCTTAAATGCCTCCTAAGTTTCTTTCTCAGTGACCTGACTCCACGTCCTTCCACAGCCTTGAGTTCCTCCTAAGGCCATTATCCTGTTAAGCCAGCTTCTTTGCCTTTAGTTTGGCTCATAGCCATGAAGACTTAATGAATTAGAATTAGTATGAGGCTTTACACCATTCAGCAAAGATGGCTCATTTTGATGAATACAGTAACAAAGTAGATCTTGTAAAGGTTGAGCAATTGACTTTGACATCACTAAAATATAGGTCCTTTAAGAAGTTTCATTGCATTAGATGTGAAGTCATAGAGTAGACTTTTAATAGTTTGGACTTTAAAGTAGATAAAAATAGTAAAGTATATATATATATATATTATATATATAGTATTATTGATTATCTTTGATGTTAACACTAGTGTTCCTTTAGATTAAGTTTATTAAACCGTGAGAGTACATGATGAGTGGGAAGTAATTTTTAGTACAGTTTTGGTGAACAGAGAACATGTAAATTTCACACTATTTTTTAACTAAGCAGAATCAAGTATCATGTGGAATGGCTTCACTCGCCACTGCTTTAATATATATTTGAAACATAAATTGATGACATGTGAAATAAATGTAGCAAAAGTTGGACTTGAACTATCTGAGCAGCTAAGAATGTTCAACAAACTAAAAGTGAAATATTGTGGTGCTCTGCCAATTCAAGTTCCATAGTGGATTCTAGACAAAAAAATGACCCTTGGACAACTGCTCTGTTATCAGTGTCTATCCTGTTTGTTAAGACAGTGTTTCAGTGTTGTATTCATGTTTGTGTCTGGAAATAGTCTTAGGTGGGCACAAAGTGCCTCCAAATGAAGCAAGCCTAGATTTGGTCATGTAGCTTCCATTCTGCATCAGATTGGATGCATTTGTTTCTCTTTACACCTATCGTCTCTTCAATACAATGGAACCATTCAAACATTCCTGAAAACTGTTGGTTCTGAGTTTGCATCGGATTCGTTTGATGATAAAGATGACCAAAACAGATATGAGATATCTACTTTAAGTATTTTTCTTAGTGTGAAGGTTACTGGAATAACATTAACAAGTTTCATTGAGGGGTGTATCTCAGATCCTACCAGTGTGTTCTTAGATCATATATACATTCACTATATCAATTTTTCACATTAAAAATATGAATAGCAAAACAGATTTGTCCTCAGATGGACTTTAAGTAAAGAACACTTACATTCTCTCTCATTCTCTCTCTCTCTCATACACACACACACACACACACACACACACACACACACACACACACATACAATTCTCCACTAAAATCGCTGAAGCTTTTGTTTAGATTTAGCTTAGGAATTAGTAATGTAAACATCTGTGCTTTATGTTTATCACCCCCATGCATTTTGTTTTGAGAGAATTGCCTCAATGATTTCTTTTAGTTTCTCATGGAGATGACTCCAAAATAATCTAGTAAACTGAATATCTATCCATAAATACCTCCAAATCTATCCAGAGTCTATTTTAATTTGATAAGGTCAGGATTCCTAGCTTCTTACAATAGCCAGAAATTAATACACAGATATGCATAAATACTAGGAAACAGCCTATACTTGAAACATGAGAAATTTGGATCCAAATTAGTTCTTATTCCTTAATCAACCACCCAGCATTTTCAGTATTGCAGATGTTTGGGCAGAATTAAGGCAAAGGAATTAAGGAAGGCCTGATCGCTCTGCATTAGTCTTAGATATATTTTCTCAGTCTTTTTTTCAGTAACTAAAGATAAAAAACAATTGATTTGATTTAGAGGGTACTTTGCATAAATATGGAGTCATTACTGCAATTGAAACAGAGATCTACAATGGAAGACAGAAAAGGAAAAATTTTAGGTTTCCCCTTTCCCTATTGTTGAAGAAATACACACACACACAGTTTCCAGGAGAGCTAGTTCTCTATTTCTTGTGCCTTCCTATAATCACTTGATGAATTTGGTATAGGAATGTACTAGCAGATTGTATTTACTTAGCTGACATTTTTAAATGAGCCTAGACTCTGTTAAAGAAAATGCCAAAATTAGGGTGGGTACTTTCAACTGTAATCCTAGCTACTAAGGAGGCTGAGCTCAGAGGATCACAAGAGGATCACAGGAGTCTCATGGCTCAAAGCTAGCCTGGACAGGAAAGTCTGTATGATTCTTATCTCCGCTTAACCACTGGCAGTAGAGCTGAGGTTCAAGTTATAGAGTGTGAGCCTTGAGCAAAAATACTGAGTGACAGTGCCCAGGCCCTGAGTTCAAGCCCCTGGACCATGACAAAAATAAAAGAAGAAAAGGAAAGTAAGGAAAAGAAAAAAGAAAAGAAAAGAAAATCCCTAGCTGGGATGTTAAAGTCCAGTCTTTAAGAATGGAAAGTATAAGTAATAGAAAGGCTCTCTGTGCTGAATGGTGACTATAAGTAGTCCATGCTGACCTCAAAGGGATTTCATTCCTTCCCAAGCAGCAGCTGATACAACTTCATGCTAGCTGGTAAGCACTGTAATATTGTAGAAGAGACCCTGTCGAGGGCATAGAATAATGGCATGAACTTATATGGATTAAGGCGAGGTATGGATGCTTCCAGAATCATATGGAGGGGTTACTTTACGACCCTCTGTCTTAGGTTTAGAGATGAAACCATAGGACTAGGTGACCTACAGGGCCAGGGCTGAGTCTCCTGTCTAAACTTCTGCCCTTGATTCTGGACATGTAATATGAGCGAGCCAAACAAATCACCATAGCGTATGAAAAACTGAAAAATTGAGCCCTATTTCTGAGAGAAAACAAAGAAGAGCTCGGTCCAAAGAGACAATCAGCGAAAGGACAGAAAGACAATACTATACCCCAGCATGCTCTAAGCTAGCCAAGGTTGATTTGTTACAGGGCAGAGTACAAATGATTGGTAAGGAGGAGTATTGATTCTCTATAAAGGCAGAGTAGCAAATGGTGTCACTTTGCAAATGCTTTGCTTGGTCAGCTTTGCAAATTTAAAATCAATCATTAGAGGTGTCTTGTCCCTTGGGATCACACTTCCTTGGTCAGAATTTTACCAAGAGTTTAATATGGTGGAGTAGGCAAAGAAGTACACCCTCTCACTGAAAGCAATGGAGGACCAGCTTATCCCCTTAGTGAATACTGGAATCTTGGCAGTGAAGTATTCAGCCCAGCCTCTGTCCTTTGAGAACCCTGGGCCACCCTGCACTAGGTACTAGCTTGGGTTTTCCAACTATCTGATAGGCTGATCACAATGAGGGTTGAGCTCATTCATTTTTGGAAATGAGACTATGTCAGGTTTAACTGAAATCACAGGCTCTTTTTTTTATTGTGAAAATAACGTACAGAGGGGTTACAATTACATGGGCAAGATAATGAGTACATTTCTTATCAAGCATTGTAGGCTCCTCCTTTGTTTCCCCTTCCCATTCCTTCCCATCTCCCACCCACCCACTCTCCCCCCGGGCTCTTTAAAGACCTGTAGACTTGGAACAAAATGGTAACAGAAAATAGAAGGATCTTAACTGGAATATGCAAAAGGAACAATTAAACAACTCAGAATCTGTTTCTAATCTGTATCAAAAAGGTGGCCTGCTACCTCACTTTATAGCTTTCATGTAGAGTGAGGGTAACAAGTCTGTCTGATTCTAATCCAATGTTTGACATTGAGCCAAGCAATTGGGCCTCTGGATCCTCCAATTTCCACCCATAAAATGGCCAGTGCAGTCCCCTCAGTTTGAAGCTCAAACATCTTAGACCCTTATACTAAACTGGTTGTGCTGTCTAGGTTGAGCTTGAAGGACATAATAAATGATGTCCATTTTTCTTCCAGTCCACCCTTGACCACACTCCAGCCCCCGCCCACAGTGCCAGCCAATGGGGGATCCGGCAGCTCCAGTGAGTCAGAGAGCAGCTCTGAATCAGACTCTGACACTGAAAGCAGCACCACTGACAGTGAATCCAACGAGGCACCTCGTGTGGCCACTCCAGAGGTAGGTAGAGTTGCCACAGCCCCAACCTCCATCTTTCTGTGCCTTACACAGCACCCACAAACATACATATCCTTTTTCGCACAGTCACTACTTCAGAACAAAAAAACTATGTTGGAAATATCTCTGGGTATTTGATAGCATTTTTTTGTTCTCTAAGACATTTTCATAGGCTTTTACATATGTCTGTTTTCTTCTGTGTGTCTGATTTGCTATAGAACTCACTCTGAGCCTCTTCATCTCTAACACTAAATAGTAATGACTGAATGAGCAGCCTCTCCTGTAAGAACGGAAAATAAAAACTGGCAGGATTCACTCTTGACCAAGGGGATGTCAGTCCTTAAGTTTAGGTTAACATTATTAAGGTAATTCATCAACACTAGGCAAGAAAGACTTAGAATAGTGAAGAGATGACATGTTATTATTTTAGTTTGTAACAAACATGTTTACTGATCATTCATGAAAACTTTTAACCCAGTCTCCCAAATACCAAAAGAATAATGCTGAAATCAAAGGATTATTTTTCCCTTCCCCTCCCCTTTGAGTTCAGGTTCTCTGCACTGGTCTTGTAATGCTACAAATTTGACAGCAAGAAAGTCCATCCATCGCCTATGGGACTGTACGCTCTTGTTTTCCATCATCAAAAAGGGGACAGTAATAATATTATCACCATTAATAATACCAGTTACTGAACAAAGTCCATATGCCAAGCATATTTTCTCATTTCTTCTTTATAACCTGTAAGGTACTGGTTAATATGGTCTCTACTTCATAGATCAAGAATATACATTTCTGAGAAGCTTAAAAAAATTCCTCAACATGTCACAGAGACATCATAGTAGAGTCAACACTGAAACTCGGGTCCTTGTGTTGTAGCTGATATGATTTCTTTGCTTCTTATCTGCCATTTCCCTGTGCAGGTTAGAATCTCACATCTACTCAAGTGTTTAAAATTCTCTTATTCTCTATTGGTTGGTGCCATAAGCTTTAGCTGATGGCCTTTAAAGGAAGAGCATTTCTAATAAAAATGATGGCTCTTTTAGTTCAAATGGCAGAATTCAGAGTTGAGAATCAAGAAGGAGAATTGGAGGTGTCATTTCCATGGCTTAACAATGGATACTGATGGTCTGCATGCATGTCTCCATAAATTGGTTATTCCTGTATGGTGTGGAAAATGCTGTGGGTTGGGGCAGCAGGAGTCAAACCTTTTCATCCTTCAGTAAAAACACAAAGAACTTGTGCTGTTTTCATTGAATTACAGCATCCAACAGAAACTACTGGTACTTTGGCTCTTTCCCTTTGAATTATACTTGAGGCACACTTAGATTTCTTTTCAGGATCAGAGAACATTGCCAGTGCCTCGTGGTGAGAGGTTGAGTGATGATGTTTCAAAGGATTTGGAGAACAAGGTTTCTTTGCAGCATTGCTGTCTGCTCTCTGAAACAACTCTCTATGAATACTTATTTGCTTCTTAGCCAGAGTGGAAAATATTTTCATAAAAAGATGGGAAATTAGTTTATATCAATTGCTTTGTGTCTGGCTGGTTTGTGTCTGCCAAGATACCAGTGAAGCTCAATTCAATAATTTTGTTGTAAGTAGGGTACATGTGTCTGAGCACTGGTGGTTATCTATGTGTAATATGGTTAGTTCACACCTAAAGATTTTATTAGCAAATAGTCTCTGTATTGAGAATACTTGTATATTCTTCCCAAGTGTGAAATTAATTGTTGTGGCTGTTTCTCAATCTGTAGCCTGAACCACCCTCCACCAACAAGTGGCAGCTGGATAAATGGCTTAACAAAGTAACATCCCAGAACAAGTCATTTATTTGTGGCCAAAATGAAACACCCATGGAGACTATTTCCCTGCCTCCTCCAATCATACAACCAATGGAAGTCCAGATCAAAGGGAAGTCAAACCCCCGCCAGGTCTTGCCTGAACCCAAAGAACGGCCTCTCCTCAGTCTCATTAGGGAGAAAGCCCGTCCACGGCCCACCCAGAAAACTCCAGAATCAAAAGCTCTGAAGCATAAGTTATCGACCACTATTGACACAGCTTCTCAAAGGACAATTGGGAAGAAACAGCCCAAAAAGGTTGAGAAAAACACCAGCATTGAGGAGTTTACCTGGCCGAAACCAAATATTACCAGCAGCACTCCCAAAGAAAAAGAGAGCGTGGAGCTTCCTGATCCGCCCAGAAGCCGTAACAAAGCCACTGCCCACAAACCAGTCCCGAGGAAAGAACCAAGGGCTCACATCCCCTTGGCTGCTGAGAAGAAGAAGTATAGAGGGCCAAGCAAGATCGTGCCAAAGTCCCGGGAATTCATTGAATCAGATTCATCTACATCTGATTCCAACACAGACCAAGAAGAAACCCTGCAGATCAAAGTCCTGCCTCCCTGCATCATTCCTGCAACTAATAATGCCAAATCCAAGGAGACCTCTGCTGCCAACCTATCTCTCAGCAGCTTGATCAGCAGCAGCAACAATAACCCATCCATCAATAATGAAGAGCCAGCTTTCTCGCCCATTCCGGCCATGCAAACTGAGCTTCTGTCCCCTCTTCGAGATCATGAGAACCTGAAAAACCTCTGGGTGAAAATTGACCTTGACTTACTTTCTAGAGTACCTGGCCACAACTCACTCTCAGCCACACCCACCAAGCCAGACCACAAGGAGACTGCCTCGAAACCCAAGCGTCAAACAGCTGCCACAGCTGTGGACAAACCTGCCATTAAGGGCAAGCGTAAGCACAAGGTAAGTTGTCCATTGGGACTTACCAAGGGATCATGAACAGTTGCTGTTTTCTGTCTAACTTGACCTTGAGTCTCATTTCAATGAGGCAAGAGGCAGTGGATTTTAGACCTTAGTGAAAGAAATGATGTTTACCACAAGAAGTGCAGTAATGTATATATATATATATAGATATAAAACCATATATAAAAGGCTAGGAACAATCAATAGGAAAGAAGAATATGAGTATGACATGAATCCCCTGGAATTATTTCCTTAAGCTGCTCTTGCCATCATGGAATTGTGTATCATTGTTCTGTAGTCACTCACCTTTGTGCCCACAATGTGCAGTGTTTCTTTAGGCCTATTCATTTCTCTACACTAATGTTAACACACTTAGAAACCAGCTTTCCTTAGGGTGTCTTGGATTCTATCAGGTCTTCTAGAATCCATGATTTTTATCATTGAAATGCCTGGTTAAAATCTTACCTATACACAGTTTGGGCTGAATTTCAGAGCTAAGAGGTAAAGGCAGAAGGAAAAAAATAATAATAGCCCTTTCTATTGAATATGTCCAGAGAAATCAGTTTATGGCAAATGATCATTCTGATTTATTTCTAGACCTTTGGGTAGGTTTATTTTATTTTTAGAATAACATTGTTTTGTAGTGACATTCAGGTAATCTTAGCGTCAATAGTAGTCATGGTGGTACACAGGCAATTCCTAATCCTTTCTCTGTTTCTTCTTTCCAGGGGACAATTGAGTATGGCTAGAAATGGCTCGGTTTCTCAGCTAAGAGCAACTCACCTAAACCCTATACTGACCTATTAAGACACTACAAGAATGATTTGTCTTCATTTAAGTTTTAATATAGGACCAGGCGACTAGAGAGTGCTATGAGACAGGAGAGTGCTAGAAAACAGGAAGCAAGTCCACTAACATGGGTACACTAAGACAAAGGAGCATACTAGTATTATCTCTTGAGTTGTGGACCAAGATTTTAAAATAGAGAGCAAGGGATCTGGCATCCTTGCACTGCGACTGGTTCACGTTACAACCAGGGATTTACAAAAGTGTGTCTTCAGAACCAATACATGCATATAGCTAGAGACATGCTTTTTGCACGTGGTTCATTTCCATCCATGCTGTTGATTTTGGAAAAAAATTTTTATATATTCCCCCATAAACCCTATGCTGTGTAGACAGGGATGATACCAGGTTAAGAGTTGTGTTAGGTTTTAAACTGTTCATTTGTAAGAACACTGTTGATGAGAGAAGTATCTGAAAATTACAGCTTTACTTTGGTTTTGAGATTCCCTTGCCACTCCACCTTCAATGAGAGATTCACATTAGTTCAACATTCTTAAACACCAACTTTCTGATAAGACTAGACTAGGCAATGCTGACTGGTTTCCTGTCTGATCAAAGGTGCATATTTAACTCCTCTACCTAAGGTAGAAGTTAAAACAGAAGCAAATGATCTCTTTTGTTGATGTCATTAATGTATGAAACACTCTTGTCTGGATGTGCCAAGTATTTTAAGCTCTGTGAATGTGTTTTCCTGTCAAAGCCAGCAGAAGTCGTGGAGAAAATCCCTGAGAAGAAGCAACGCCTGGAGGACACCACTACTATCTGCCTGCTCCCCCCCTGCATCTCACCAGCCCCATCCCACAAGCCTCCCCATGCTAGAGAGTGAGTTTGCCGTGCCTTTATATGATTTCTCTGTAAGAGTGTTCTGACTTTTTACATATATGTGTAACCACTCCTATGCTTGAACTCAGGGGCCTGGGCTCTGTCCCTCAAAGGAATTTCTTTTTTGATTTTTGTTTTTCTCAAGGCTAGATCTCTGTTACTTTAGCCACAGCTCCACTTCTGGATTTTTGGTGGTGAATAAGAGATAAGAGTCTCATGGACTTTCCTGCCTAGACTGGCTTTCAGCCTCAATCCTCAGATCTCAGCTTCCTAAGTAGCTAGGATTATAGGCATGAGCCACTGGTACGTGGCTTGTTCTGACTTCTAAGAACCAAGGTTCTCTTCTGCTCATCATCAAAAACTTTCTTTTGAGCATGAGGATCATACAGCTGCTGCTTGGAAGTCATTACCTAATGTCAATGCAAAGCTTGAGGACTGTAACTGCATTCTTACCTCCACGGGGGAAATGAGCTGTGTGCAATTCTGCTCCTTCTGGGACAGTTCTGTATGAAGCGAAGCTTGTTAGGGAGGAGTATGTTACTCCCATGAGCTGGCACATCCTCTCCCTTCTCTCTCTATATGATAGGTTCCAGAGTCAGACAAAAAGCTTCTCATTTTCTCCCCATTTAAATAGCTTCAGTCTTACCCAAAGAAGTTCTGCCCTCTCTTCCTACCAAGCATTGCAATTAAGTTCTTTTTGTCATGTTTATATATATATATATATATATTATACACACACACACACACACACACACACACACATATATACATATATATGTCACTTAACTACCAATCATGTCAGTGACTTGAACCATTCTCTCTTGGTATAAATTCATATAACATTAAAGATTATTCTCATCAAAGCCCAGTTTTGGAGTCTATTAGCAGTCCAGAGCATAGAGGCAATCTGGCTAACTTCTGCTAACAACCGATTTCACAGATTACTATTTAACATCAGTGATATGGCATCAATCTGCCACAGCTCAGATGGCAGACATAAGTGATCAGCTTACAGTGATCCAGGTACTTGTTTTTATATGCAAGTAGAAACAAGACAAATTACAACTAGATCCATCTTTAGAAGATTTAAGACTTGGGGTGCCCTTACCCTAAAGTACAGCAGTTTTTTTTTATGCGCATCTGTAGTCTCTGGCTTTGAAACATTCAATTCACATAGTTAAAGTCCTTAGAAATGGAAAGGAAAAGTTCAGGGCAATGGGGCACTGACCATCAGTCACACTGCAAGTCTCCTTGCTAAACAGTCTAGTGATTTGGTTCTTCCTCCATCTTATGGAAGAGAAATGATCAAAGATGTAAGTCATTATCTGGTTAATGTAGTCAGCTTCATGAAAGGGCAATTATAAGGCACACTCATGCAGATTTCCTACTTTCTAAGAGGTATAAAAGCAGTGTTTTCCTAGGAACATTTGTCATTCAGGAAGAATCTGCAACATATTCTTGTGCTTATCAAAAACATTCAAATCTCTGGAATTGAAGACAAATGAATCAGACTAATCTCTTAGGAGAATTCTCTAGGGGCTGTTCTCCTCAAACTTTGTCTTCTCCTTTGTGCCCTTCACACAAAATTATTAGAAATTGCTATGAGCCAACTCACTTTTCTAAACGAATATTCTAAATCTAGCAAAGATGCTATACTTAATTGACAGATGAAGTTTCCCATTGTCCAGCTGAAAAGCTGTGCTGAGTTTCTCCACTTCTTTTTGGCTTGACCAAACAGTAGAACCTATAAGGGGCTTACTGGCATTGGTTAAAGTATTTCTCAGATGTGTTCCTCTGTCATATTTAAAGACATACACACATATAAAAGGTGTTCTTGTAGTTGGAATCTATAATAGTGAGAGTGCTCTTTAGAATATTCTCCTTGTGTGTCTTTTGTCAAGGAAGTCCTGAAAGGCTCCAGAGTTCCAGGTCATTATCAAGCAGATGGTAAGGGAACTAAAACATTGATACCTACTGCACAGAATGCACTAGGTCCCCATTGGTCAGGTCAGTGACAGATGGAAAAGCTGTGACTGTAGGAGCACATGGTAAGTCAATTGCCTCTCAGGACCAGCTGTTTGCCTTGGAAGGTCCTATTACCTTCTACTTGAGCTAGCTCAAGTTGTGGAGGAATGGTTATAAAGAATGAACCCATGCAACTACTGCCATGACAACGATCCACATGTGTGTATATAAATCCCCAAAGGTTAGGAGACCCTGTGTGTGTGTGTGTGTGTGTGTGTGTGTGTGTGTGTGTGTATTTAGTATCATTTTTATCAGGCATCAGTACAGTTTTGAAATGTTCTCTTATTTCAAAACAATTTGAAAACACTTGGAAAGTATTTTATTCCAATTTTGATCAATTAAAAACACTGAATTGTTTGGAAACATTTCGTATCATGACAATAAAATAACACAGAGGCACTTCAATGAAACAAAGGTTGGAGAAGATGACACAGACTAGTACAGCAAATTTGTGGATCATAGTAGAAGTGGAACAAGGAAACTGAAATGACGTCTTTTTTAGGAAATCAGACCACTTGAACGCTTGTTCATCTTTGATTTGTTGCTTTGAGATATGGTAAATCTATATATCTATGCAATGACTGAAATTGACCAAGAGGAAAACATAAATTCTTGTTGACTTAATTGGCTATTGAAAAATCGTAGTCAATAATCATGGAGAGTAAATGGCTGCACAGTGCAATATTAGGTGTCGAAAACAAGATTAAAATCCAAGTAGTCTTCATTGATTAGCCTAAGACAGTAACTAAAATAAAAATCCATGACCCAATTACCATGTTAAGCAGTTTGCGTAAGATCTGAGTTGTACTGTATTATTAGAAATCTCAGTGTATTTGATGGTGCCCATCTAATGAGCAAATAAATTAATTCGAAAACATGGGTGTACATTTAAGATCATAAATGTCTTATGTCAATGTATCCAAAGAATATATTTAAGTTTTATAAAAGAACTCATTATTCCTTGGCATTAGGGTAGAGCTACATTTATTTCCTTATTTATCTAGCATGTATTAATTGTACGAAGTTTTTTTCCCATGGCATTTCACAGGTGTATACATTGCTCTTGAGTAAGCCCTTCCAGTACTTCGTTTCTCCCATTCTTCCTTTCCCTCTGCAGCTTTCATTGGATTTCATTATGCGGATATAACCTTATATACACATATTTTTCAATGTTTACAGTAGTGTTTAGAGTGCAATTTATTTTAAATAGTATGAAAGCATAATATTTATTTTTATTAATTTACCTTATTGTTGTTATAGAGGTGGTGTACAGAGGAATTACAATTACATGATTCATGTAATGAGCACATTTCCTTTCATACAGTGTCATCTGTTCCCTCACTCTCTCCCGGTTCCCTCCCTCCCATCTCCACCCACGAGTTGTATAATATTTAATAAAATACCCTTCCATTTATTGTTCACTGTACCATTTATCACGTTCTTCTTCAGTTAGGTCCTAGAGAAAAATAAAGTAGGAAACATCGTGAAAAATGATGGGATTGAAGTCTGCATTGTATTTTCTATAAAAATCTAATTAACAGTAATGTTGATAGGTTGCAAATATCACACTGTAGCACACTCCATTAGACATTCCCATTTGTCATAGAATTCTGCTTCCAAGACATGTGTTTATTCTTGGATACAGGTATATGCATCTATCTATCAATGAATATTTATATACCTCTCATAGGTAAAGGATAATCAATTTAACAAATCACTTCAGCTGAAAATACTAGACTCATGAGAAAAAAATCAAAATAAAGCAAGATAAGGAAGTAGAGCTCAAGTGGTAGAGTGCTAGCTTTGAGCAAAAAAACAAATGCTCAGGAACAATACTTAGGCCCTGAGTTCAAGCCCTGGGACTGGCACACAAACTGAATAAAGCCAATATGAGACTTCACAACACCCTGCACATTTTGTTTCCACAGAAATAATTCTAGAAGAGCAAATAGAAGAAAAGAAGAAAAGCTTTTCCCTCCTCCACTTTCCCCACTGCCAGAGGACCCTCCACGTCGCAGAAATGTCAGTGGCAATAATGGTCTCTTCAGTCTAGACAAAAACATCTCCATGACTGGACAGATCACCTCTACAAAACCTAAGCGGAATGAAGGCAAATTCTGTGCTACTTTCAAAGGAATATCTGTAAATGTAAGTGTCTTGGAGCACATATTATAATCGTCAAGTAGCAGAGCTGGTGGCATGGTTCAAGCACTTGCCTAGCAAGTAAGAGGTCCAAACTCTAGCAACCACATTAAAAAAAATAACTCTCAGAAAGAAATTAACTCAGCTTCTCTACCTTTATCATAGGAAATGTGGAAAGGGTCAGGGAGAAAACGGCAAAAGGGGGAAAAAAGTGTGTGCATTTGTGTGTGTGTGTGTGTGTGTGTCTGTGTGTGTGTGTAAACATATGCACTTCAAATTTTAATTATTCCAATTAAGTTTAAATATTTTATTCCATATTATTTTTTATATTTTTCATGGATGTGTTTGGTATAATATTTTCATACCTTAGGGGTGGAAAAGACACTTCCATAATAGAGTTTAGCCTCTGGACTGTAGTAGGGACCAGTCATTTAGTGACTGGAAATAGGTGGAATGGGATTTCTCAATGTCATTGAACTGGAGTAAGAACTCCAAGTTTTGGTGTTCTACAATTTACCTTTGCCAAACTGAATTGTGTTTTTAAAAGTAGTTACTAAACAGAATAGAATTTAAACAGTGAAATCCATTTCTCAAAGCACACAGCAATGATTCCAACCTCACCTAAAAGACTACATAGTCCTTTAGACTTTGTACACTAGTAGTTAGTTCACATAGATCACTGAAAGTTCTTATTTTTCACACCCCACATGCAATGACTTTTAACTCCTCTGAGGTATCTATGTACATGAACTGTTGAAACGATAAGTAATAATGTCAGTGAAGAATATATGTATTTTCCATTATAAAAGTATGTATCTATATACTTGTGTATGTCATCTTTCAATGTAAATGTAGGTGTGTAGATGTGTGCATGTGTGTGTTTTTGCATGTACACTTAGACTTCTTTAAATGTAATAGGAGTAAATATCAGTAAGTTTTCACAGTTCTGGTATCAATATTTTAGTTTCTAAATCAAAAGTGCTCATCTAACTATTTATGAAAGTCTTTGTATATATTTTAAAACACCAGTATACACAGTCCTCCATCATCCGAGATGACATGCACATTGAGGTAAATTTTATTACCAATATAAAAAGCTAGTACAGAGCTATAATTTTCCATATTTTCACACACATTTAAAGATGTTGACTCCATAATGTTGGAAATTATGAACCTACTTATTCTAAACAGTAATTACACTGCATATCTTATTTTTAATACTGAATATAATTAATATTATGAACCCTAATTGATGCACACTTCTGCTACAAGTTTTTTGGGGGTATGTAATGCAGGTCAGAAATTGTTTTTGAATAGTGCCTATCATATTGTCACAAAGAGTTACATATTATAAATAATAATGACTAGTATTTTACTACAGATAATTAAATGTCCTTAAATAATACAGGTTGTTATTATGACAATAATACTGCTGACAAGAATTTGTAGTCAATTACACAAGAGCTAAAAGTTAACTGGGGAAATGTGATAAATATGACTATGCTTGCTCATTAACTTTAGTGTGTGTGTGTGTGTCTGTGTGTGTGTGTGTAAAATGAAGGCAGTTTTTATAATTTGCTAGACTATATGTAGGCATTTACAAACAGATCTTTCAAAGCCAACCTCAATATAATGTCTATGAACAATGTGGTATTTCAAGGTTCCTATCACATATCCTTGTAGCACTGTGTTAGGGCTTATACCAAACAGTGGGGTTAGCCCACTTTGTCTCTGAGAGTAGACACAAGGAGCTTGCATGAGTTTTTTTATGGCTCTCATTACCCTACATGTTTAGATTGAATAAAATCTATGATGATCTTTAAACTGTTTTCTCCATATTCATTACAATAATCTGTGTGTGTAAGCCCTCTTTGCACATTTATCTTAGTATGATCTAGGCAGTAAGAATTATTAGCATAAAGTTGAGGATCAAGTGGAAAAATACCAATTCTCTGTCAGGACAGGCATGGTCATACACATCTGTTAGCTCAACTATTTGGAGAACAGAAGTAAGAGTTGCCTTGTGGGTTGAGCCAGCCCAGAAAAACTTAGTGTAATACCCTATCTGAAAAACAAACCAAATGATGCAATAAAGCTTGGGACATGGCTCACATACTAGAGTACTTGCATACCCAACTTGAAGCTTGGAGTTCAATCTCCAATACTATAAAAATAGAAAAGTATTCCTTTAAAGTGATTCTTTGACTAAGGCAAGTGTTCATATATATATGTGTGTGTGTGTGTGTGTGTGTGTGTGTGTGTGTGTGTGTGTGTCTGTCTGTGTGTCTGTGTGTCTATGTCTGTGTCTGTGTCTGTGTCTGTGCCTGTGTGTCTGTGCGTCCAAACGCATGTAGTATATGCTAAGAGCAGTGGACAATGGGTGGAGGGGCAAGCCCTAATTCAGAGACAGTTACCAACCCGAGGTGCTCAAAGTAGTAGAGTAAAAGGTGTCTTAGGAAAGGAATAGAGATAGGTCTGTGAATAGCACAAGGAGAATTAAAGAACATTTTAATATGTAGGCAAACAGATGTTTTTATTGGAATAGTCATTTGTTAAGCTAAGCCTTAATAGATATGAAGGGAAGTGGATAAACACAATGTGGTTAATTCACATGATGGAACATTATACAATCTTAAAAAGCAAGGAAATCCTAACATCAGCTACACTACAACATGCACAGTAAAATAAGCCAGACATCAAATGACAAATATTGCTATTAAAACTCGCTAAGATCCCAAGAGTTCTCACATTTATACAGACAGAAGTCGACAGGTTGTTTAGGGCTAAGTGGGGAAAGGAGAGCTGTTCTTTAATGCATACACACTTTTGCAAGTTGCAAAAGACTTTGGGGAATTGGTAGCACAACAATAACAATGTGCTTAAAACTTCTTTACTGTGCAGTTACAACTGACTGACATGGAAAATTTTGTGATATTGTTTACTTACCACAATTTTAATACTTTATAAATGAAAATAATGGAGCAAATTATTACAATGCAACAATACAAAATACAAAGAAATGAAGGCAAGGCTTTTGGATCTAAGAGTCTTCATGAACCAAATCAAGAAAGTGAAGAAAGCAGGAGGGTGGTCATTTTCGTTGAAATCAAGATCTGTGGAAGGGAGAAGTTAGAGTTTAGGTAAGAAGCTAAAACCATGTTAGAGAGAGCTTTGAAGCTAGCACAGGTGCTCAGCCTTGAGTATACACTTGAATATACACTGATTCCTTAATTAGAGTGACACACAGCTTTGTTTAGGAAGCTCAGGCTGGTAGGTAGTCCAGACAGAAGACAGGGTAGAAAGTCCTTACTTACCAGGCATGCCCTAGTCTGAGATCAATAGTAGTTCTCTGTGGCATCATGCCAAACATATTTGGTAACTCGTTAGTCACATAGAGGATACCAGGCTTGCTGACAGCGGTGACGGGGGTGACGATCAACAGAAAAATGGTACTGTTTTAACTCTCAAGTTTGTTCTAGAAAAATATGGACATCTTGTAGAATGATTCAGAAGTGCTTGCTGCGGGTTCAAAGGTTCATGAAGAACGCAAATGTCAAAATTCTATATGTGACTTTTTTGCCTGTTGTTGAATCTATGGCAATACATACAGGATTGACAAACACAGGAAAGAAGAAATCTGAGGAATGAACATTGGAGCATACCAGTCTTAGGGAGATAGCAACTTAGAAGAGCAGAAAGATAAAAAGGCACCATGGGAAATATTGTCAGGTTGTTGCACAGTTGCCAGTTGAGGAAGGTGGAGTCTGTCATGGGAGCATGTCATGTGATCTGTAACAAGATGCTGCCACATAAATTGCAGATCTTATTACCTACCTCTCATGGATCCCACTCTCTCTGAGGCAATGACAGTTCAAAGTGAAGTCCTCATGAGTTTGTTATCCACTTCATATTTCACCTGGGGAAATTGAGGTTTTAACATCCCAAGTCTTCAAAAGGAGACACAGTTACGTATCATTCAGTTACCCAGAAATCAATCAAGGGGTTCATAGGAACAAAAGGGTTGTTTCAGCCGCCTGTCCACTAGGGTACTGATACCTGGTGTTCTGGCATTTTCATGGCCCATATTTGAGTGCTTTGGGTACTTGCTTTATCCTAGAGAAAGTTTCTGGCCTTGTTCTCTTACAAAAATATGTACAATAGAATTATAAAGTGTCTCTGTCTGTTGATCCATCTATCTGTCTATCTATCTATCATCTATCTATCTATCTATCCATCTATCTATCTATCTATCTATCTATCTATCTATCTATCTATCTATCTATCTATCTATCTACCTACCTACCTACCTACCTACCTACCTATCATCTATGTTTCTGTCTGTCTACTACTACTATTTATCTCCTCATCCTCTTCCTCCTTCTCTCCTCTTCTTTATATTCTTTTTCTCTGTCCACTGACATTTTCTTCTAGATTAATACCTTTGATATTATTGTTGTCTAAATGTAACAGAAGGTCAATGTAATCCTGGCACCTGACTGATTTGGTGTTTCATGTTATCATAGAACAAAAGCCGCTCATTTACTGCATTCAGCCTCTAGTGCTGTGTATTGTTTTGTTTTAAATTTCTTTTCTTAGCCAGGCTTCAGTGACTACTGCCTGTAATCCTAGCTACTCAGGAGGCTGGAATCTGAGGATCGAGGTTCAAAGCCAGCCCAGGCAGGAAAGTCCATGAGACTTTTATCTCTAATAAACCACTCATAAAACCAGAACTGGCTCTATGGCTCGAGTGGTAGAGCACTTGCCTTGAGCTGAAGAGCTGAGGGACCATCGCCCAAGCTCAGAGTTCAAGCCTGATGACCAACAAAAAAGAAAATTAATTAAATAAATAAATAATTTTCTTGTCTTGCTTGGTACTATACTTGACATTCAAAGTGTTTTTGGAAGAGATGTTCTAAACAACTGGACCTAATAGAACCTTCTTGTCCTCCTTTTTCCCCAGGAGATAGACACTCCAAAAAAGACTGCCTCTGCCACCGTTACTGTCACCAATACTGCTATTGCCACTGTTACTGCTACTGCCATTGTCACTGCCACTGTCACTGCTACTGCTACCGCCACTGCCACATCCACCACCACAACTACCACCACCACTATTTCCACCATCACCTCTACTATCACTACTGGCCTTATGGATAGCAGTCACCTGGAGATGACGTCCTGGGCAGCCCTGCCCCTCCTATCCAGCAGCAGTACTAATGTCCGGAGACCCAAGCTCACTTTTGATGACTCGTATGTTGTCCTTACCTTATTATAGACACGGATTGGGAATGATGACTTGGGGTGGGGCAAAGTGGCTTTGCCAGCTCTATGCATGTACGTGTCTCCTCACATACGACCCTACCATCAGCTATATAACTTTCAAAGTATATCCTCCTCTACATACATTTCTGTCTCCAACAAATATCTTTGCCTGTTTTCATTCTGGGGTTTGTTATTACTTCCAAAGATGGGTGCTTACTCTTAGATTATTATTTTTTTTATCTTTTCTTCTTCATGTCCTCAGGCAGACATATATTGATAGCTAGGTTTTATGTGATCTCTTTGGTAAATTGTAATGACTGAGTTTAGGGGATGTGTTTATGTATCCCAATGGGCCATTATATACTTCAGATTTCATTTATAGTATTATTTCCAGTTTGTGTATGGTATGAATGACAGCACTACGCTGCCTTTCCCAAGGCTTTATGCAGGAATGAGTTTATAGTAAAAATGTATGTAACTACTCAGTTTCTTCATGAAAAGACAAAACATTGGTTTTCAAAAAGAGCTTGTTTTGTTTGTTTAGGGTTCACAATGCTGACTATTACATGCAAGAAGCTAAGAAGCTGAAGCATAAGGCTGATGCACTGGTAGGTTTTCTTTCTCTTATTGCTTTGCTCCCAGTAAGTTATAAGGCTTTGTAACAATACAAAGAAGGCACTTTGAAAACGAGTCAAACTTTTAGTACTACATCACAAACCTTCTTTGCAATGGATTGCTGCTCTGACATAGGGACATTAGAGCTAGATAATTCCTTAGAACCAAAATTCCCAGAGTACTTCAAGCTCAGTTCTCTTGTCATTGTTCTCTTCCAACTGTTTTTCCCTTTGCCCCAACTTCAAAGTCTCAGTCACACATTTCATTGTGATTATCTTTTAAGTGAATTTGAAATGACTTTTGAAGCTACCCTAGAAAGGATTGGAGCTCTTGGGTCCAGCAATACAACACTAGTGCGGGAGAAATTATTAAAAGCTATCTAATTGACCTCGGGAAACTTGGGTCTATAGAAAAAGCTCGCCTTCTTGAATTTGATTACATGTTCCCCAAGTGATACCCACAATCAGACTGTGATCTAGAGCAAAGAAAGGAAATACTGTCATCTGGGTCGCCTGTCATATTTTATCCAGCTTCTTCCCAAAGATCTTGGTCAACTATAGCAGAGATGATCTCTGCATGTTGACTTGTTTGGCTTAATTGACCTTCCTAATAATGAGTCTTAACAATTTTACAATTACTTGGTTAAGTTAAGACTACACACTACACCAATGAATCAGAATTTCTGGGACTGAGCCCCTGTTGCATGGTTACTACAAGAAATCCTCAAATATGGCCATTTGAGAACACTGTCATGGAGAAGATCCTAATGTCATGCTCCTCATGATTAAGTATATGCCAGAACAACCTCATTGTGAGAAAAAAATATTATCCTCCATCTCTGTACCAGGTCTGCTCAGGCCTTAGCTGTGCCTGGCACTGATTGGGGAGCCTGTGGTAGAATAGCTCCACATTCTGCATTATAAATATCATGTGACCTACATCCACCAACCGTTCACAGCCCTTGCATCTGCTACTTCTTTTACCTCCTGTCAGTTTTTACAGTGGTTGGTATTGCTTAGGCATTTCAAGTAACCAATCTTTTTTTTTTTTTGTCGGTTGTGGGGCTTGAACTCTGGGCCTGGGCGCTGTCCCTCAGCTCTTCAGCTCAAGGCGAGCGCTCTACCACTTGAGCTACA